CCTCCTCCTCCTCCTCCTCCTCCCCCTCCTCCTCCTCCCCCTCCTCCGCCTCCCTCGAGGGTGCAGGCCGGGGCACGTCGGGAGCGCCCTCTCGCCGCGCCCCCGCCCGGGTGCTCCGCTCCTTGCTGGCGCCCCGACGGCGCAGCGTTCCTGCGGCGGGCGCCTGCGCGGCGCCGCGACGCGGCCGAGGCGGAAGGGGCAGCGCAGGGGATGCCGAGGGCAACATGCAGGACGACGAGGACGATGACGGTGGTGAGGACGATGGTGAGGACGATTATGATGATGATGATGATGATGATGATGATGATGATGATGATGATGATGATGATGATGATGAAGATGAAGATGAAGATGAAGATGAAGATGATGATGAAGATGATGATGATGAGGAGGAGGAGGATGAGGATTAAGACGATGACAGTGAGGATGATGCTGATACTGCTGATGGTACTGATGATTGCAATGACGAGGATGCTGATGCTGATGCTGATGCTGATGATGATGATGATGATGATGATGATTATGATGACGGTGTTGGTGATAACGATGATGCAGATTATGCCGATGATGATGCTGCTGATGATGATGCGCCTGATGATGACGACGATGAAGATTATGATGCTGATGCTGATGACGATGGTGGTGATGCTGATGGTGGTGATGATGACGATGATGGTGGTGATTAATGATGATGACGATGATGATGCTGATTGTGCTTATGTTGACGACGAGGATGCTGATTGTGGCGATGATGATAATGCTGTTGATGATGCTGATGATGGTTATGAACATTGTAATGCTGATGATGCTGATGTTGTTGCTGCTGCTGCTGATGATGATGCTGATGATGCTGCTGCTGCTGATGATGATGATCACCATCGTCATCATTACCATCATCGTCATAATCGACAGCAGCAGCATCAGCATCAGCAGCAGCAACAGCATCATCACCCTCACTACCACCACCAACCATCACTGTCAGCAGCAGCAGCATCATTGGACAGCGCAGAGGATGCCAAAGAAAGTGCATGATGGTGCGCGGAGGGCGCGGATCCCAGACCTCCAACGGCCAAAGAAGCTCGAGGCGGACATCTTCCGCAACGGTCGGCATCCGGGGCCCTCGCCGGGCCCCAAGACGGTCAAACGGCGACTCGAGCTGGAGAGCCGGCCATGGGGAACAGTTGCAGACAGATGGGGGTCCCGTATAGGGAAACTCGGGACATTGGATGTCTGAGAGTTGCGACGAGTAGGAAGCAGGGAAAGGACTGCAGGATGAGACTGTGGGGAGGGGGCAAGGGGGGCGAGGAGCGGGAGGCAAACGGAGGAGGGGGAGGGGAGGGGAGGGGGGAGAGGAGAGGGGATGGAGGGAGGAGAGGGGACGGAGAGAAGGAAAGGAGAGAAGGGGATAGGGGGGATGCGGGGTGCACTTGTCCTGGAGCAAAAGGTCACCTCACGAATGCAGGTTCTGCGGGGGATGTCCCGCCGCGGGACGTATCTTTGTCATTATCATCCGCCGTCTTACTTCCATGATGCTTAACAACATTATGTTCACCACTGTTTTTCTTACTCCAATTTCCCCTAGGCAGTGCTTGCACTTACGGGTTATGAACTGTTTTCTAAAGAACTGGGCTGGTATGCCGCTGTGGCGGCTATGTGCTATGTAACCTCCGTCGCTGCTCCGTCACCGCCCCGTCGCCGCCTCGTTGCCGCCCAATCGCAGCCAGTCGCCACCTAGATCGTCTGGGCCTGTCTGGCGCTCTGGTCGCCAGGTCGCCGCCTGGATTGCACAACTTGAATTCTCCTTTCTTAAAAGAGACACGTCCCCCTGGGGATGTGCAATTTACGTATGGTTCTGCTCCATCGCCCATCCTGAATCTGAGCTCGTACCATGTCAACCGAGCTGGTATCGCCACCCCCCCTGCAATCTCCTGCAAAACGAATTATTCGCGCGCGCTCGTTTATAAGAAATCATCAGGGCTCAAAAATCCCTTGCAAATGATGGAACAAAGTGCACACGCGAGCGTCGTCGCGCGCGCATGCCGAAATCGTTCAAAACCGTCCTGCTTCGTAGTGATTTCAAAACCGAATGTCCAAACACATGGAAACACAGCTGGGTTTCGCAACGCGGATTTTCAAAAAAGCTTGCGCGTTTTTGCGAATTCTTAAGGCAATCATGCGTTTTCACCATGTTCAGAAAATGTTTCCTAAAATGTTTCGCGCGCGCATGTCGAAATCGTTCGAACGCCCGTGCGCGTGTGCCGTCTAGAGAATCCTCTGCAACAAATGCGATAGCGCGCATGCCGGAGTTCGTCAAACACACTCGGTTGCGTAGCGACCGGATGTCCAACAACCATTCAACACCACATGGTTTCGCAACAACAGTTTTCAGAAAACCGTGCGCTCGCGCTCTTGCGAACTCTTGATGCATTTTACCAAACGGGCCTCTGGCGCCGCATGCCGAGATCATTCGCGCGCACTTGCGCGCGTGCTGGGGGGCACGATCCGTGTCAAATCAAGCCATGCGGGCCACTCTCGGGCGTCGGCCACGCGCGCATGTCGAACTCTTTCCAAAAACCTTAATCACCGACGCGAGGACGCCGTCATCGTCGTCGACGTGATCAGCATGGGCACCGTCACTGGCCGCGCCGTCGTCGTTGCCAACATTGTCACCAGCATCGCTACTATATGGCACCGCGCCCGCCCATGTCGCCGACCCGCAGTGAAGTGCCCGCTGGGATGTGCCCAGCGGTCAGCGCCACCGCGGCTGCGTTGGTCGCGACAAACTAGCTGGCCGCTGCGCGAACGTGCTTGGGTTGGCGCGGCCGCAGCGATGCGACAGCCAACGCCAAGCACGCATCGCAATCACCGCCGCATGGGTTTTGGAAACCAAGTTGCGGGTGGGTGGGTGGTCTGTTTGCAAGAGTATGGAATGTGCCAACTCTTTGTAAAAACCAATTGCACCACGTAGTTTACACCCCGTCGAGCTTATGAACGCCAAATGGGTTGCAACACGCAGGCTGCACAACAGAGGTGAAACACCATACAGATGGCACGGCATAGACTGAACCACATAGAGTGCACAGCACATCTTGCATAACATATACTGCATCATACAGCTTGCACTATATATCTGTTATGTGTACTTAACTCCACAACAATTGCACCACGTGTGTTCTATAACATATACGGCTCCACATATACTGCGCAACGTCTATTGCTAGAAACAAACCGGATGGGGCCCACGCTGGCTAACACATTCGCGTTGATGTCATTGTTCGTCTTCGTTTTCGCGCTTGCTTGAAAGATGGCTGTCGCTATGTATGTTCCAATTTTTTCTCATTCTGACTCATATCCTCCTCCCTTAGCGTTAGTGCTGGCAGGCGAATGGGCAATTGTTCCGACTCCCCCCGCTTTCGCCCCGATTGCAACAAGCAGCGGGTGGCTCCATGTTCCCTACCCAAAAATATGATGGTACACGCTTCTCCTGGCAGCATGGACGTGTTGCCTTCGACGTTGCAGGCTGTATGGCAATATCGGGACCTTGCGCACATCGCGCGCGATCGGGTGAATTTTTCCTCTCGCTCCACACCCGCACTTGTTTTCGTGGCGACGGTCGAGCGGCCGAGGGGCGCAGGGCAGCCAAGTGCGCAGTGGCTGGCCGCAGGCCAGCCGCGGAGGGGAAGGGGCCGGCAGGGGAGCGCTGGACAGCCAAGTGCGCAATGGCTGGCGGCAGGCCGGCCGCGGAGGCGGTGGGCGGGCAAGGGGAAACATGCTCCTCCTCCTCCTCCTCCTCCTCCTCCTCCTCCTCCTCCTGTTCCTCCTCCTCCTCCTCCTCCTCCTTCTTCTGGGCGGCCGCGAAGGGGGTGGGCGGGGGGAGGGGAGCTCAGCCCATGGAGGTCTTCGTCGGCGCGCAGAGGCCTGGGCCCGCACGAGCATCGGCGAGGGAGGCCGCGCCAAGTCGTCCCCGAAGAGGCGCGGCAAGCCCCACCACCGCCCCATCGGGCGCCGCGCGCTGTGGTTCGCCCGCCGCGCGCACCGGAAGCGGGGCCACGCGGCAGGCGGAAACTTCCTTGATGTGTGAGAAACATGTGCGCGCTGCGGTAGTTACTCGCGCGCCTTGTCAGAATCGACGCGCTGGCGCGAGCCTTGTATCATGAGCGCCATTTGTGCGCGAAACCGTGTTCTCTCTCTTTCTCTCTCTCTGTCTGTCTCTCTCTCTCTCTCTATTTCTCTATCTCTCTCTCTATATATATGTATGTCTGTATGTATGTACGTATGTACGTGCGTACGTACGTATGTCTGTCTGCCTGTCTGTATGTATGTATGTATGGATGGATGTAGATGTGCATGTCTGTATGTATCTATGTGTGTATGCATGTACGTATGCACGCATGTCTGTATGTCTGTATGTATGCATGTCTGCATGTATGTATGTGTGTATATGTGTATGTGTATATGTATGTATGTATGTATGTATGTATGTATGTATGCATGTATGTGTGCATGTATGTATGTATGTATGTATGTATGTATGTATGTATGTATGTATGTATGTATGTATGTATGTATATGTGTATGCAGGTGTGTTCGTATGTATGTATGTTTGCGTGCATGTGTGCATGTATGTTTGTATGTATGTATGCATGTACGTATGTACATATGTATGTATGTATGTATGTATGCATTTATGTATGCATGTATGTATGTATGTATGTATGTATGTATGCATGTATGTATGTATGTACGTACGTACGTATGTATGTATGTATGTATGTATGTATGTATGTATGTATGTATATGTGTATGCATGTGTGTACGTATGTGTGTATGTTTGCGTGCATGTGTGCATGTATGTTTGTATGTATGTATGCATGTACGTATGTACATATGTATGTATGTATGTATGTATGTATGTATGTATGTATGTATGTATGTATGTATGTATGTGTGTATGCGTGTATGTGTGTATGTATGTATGCATGCATGTATGTATGTAGGTAGGTAGGTAGGTAGGTAGGTAGGTAGGTAGGTAGGTAGGTATGTGTGTATATGTGTGTATGTATGTATGTATGTATGTATGTATGTATGTATGTATGTATGTGTATATACATGTATGTATGTACATACATGTATGCATGTATGCGGATATATATATATATACAT